ATCGTTGTATCATCTGCAAATATGGTGAAGCATCCATTAATATTGACATTAATAATATCATTAACATAAATTAGGAATAAAACCGGTCCCAGAACGGATCCTTGGGGAATCCCACAGTAAATCATAGAAAGCAATGATGTTTGCTTATTGAAAGAAACTCTTTAGAGCTATTCCTTGGAATCCATACTTTTCTAGCTTACTCAGCAATAGTTTGTGATTTACACATTCAAAAGCTTTGGATAAATCACAGAACACTGCAGCAGCTACCTTGTTATCATTTAAATTGAGGTATAATTTTTCTAGAACAGAAAACATAGCATAGGTGGTATTTTTACCCGATTGAAACCCAAACTGAGATGTAGATAGTACTCCGATAGCTTTTGGGAAAAAAAAGATACAAAATAAAATTTATATTTAGGTACATGCAATATGTCTTACCAGAACTAGTTGACAGCAGAGATATTAGAGACATAGAGGTACGGGACAGAATACCAAATAAATGGTGAGAAATTCTGTTTAATTTTTATTAACATGATGCAAGGAATCTTAAATTATTTGGAATATGTTTATTAATTTAAGAATTACGCTTTATTTATTTCTAAAACATGGTAGTAAGCGATCCATTTAAAATTTGATTAATGTTTTATTATTATAATAAAGCTTTTTTAAATTTTAGATTTTATCAGTGGCAGTGTTTAATTTAACGTTATATTTCATTTAAAAATATCTTAAATAAAAATGTGTTTAATATGTTTTATTACGTAAACAATTAAAATTATTATTTATAGAACTAATTTTTTTAAATAACAGTAAGAAAAGTAAAACTCTCAGTAAATATTACAACATAAACATTTGTAATGACTAAAATTAAAACTAATAAAAGTTCATATTTAAAATAAATACTCTGTAAAAGAAAGCAATAATAAATTCACTAAAACGAGGTACAATATAAGTGATAAACTGGCAATTATAATTTGTTTGATGCGACTAAATTAAAGAAGATACCACACCAAACTTATAGAAACATTATTTCAATATTGTTTCCTTGAAGTTTTTAAAAAACTCCTTATTTTACTATTCAACAAATTTTTGCATGAGTTATTGTTTCTTTAGGAAGACTTGACAACATTGCAGGATGCAGTAAAGTAAAATGTAATATTATATACTTACCATAGTTAGCGATATAAAAGGATGCAATACAGCTTCATTATGTAAGAAAATGTATACATATTTTTCAAGTATTCACCCTCAAAATTAGATTCCATGTACAACTTTTTTAACAGATTCAATATACGCTTAAAGAAATGGGCTAAACAGGTGTTTTCTGCAAGACTCAAAAAGTGTGTTTTTTGTTTATTTTTATTAATTATTACGATACTTTCCATTCCCCCCTCCCCCCATCATAAAGTGTGAAAATCCGAAAACCTTGAAATATGTCATTATTTACTTATGATGAGAGTAGCTACAATTCCAATATTCAAATTCTACCTTTAAAAAACCGAAAGTCTCTTACAAACTGTCACCACCCATTTCCCCCTTTTAAATGTAAAAATCCACAAACCCTGAAATATGTCTATTTATTTATGATGAATAGATACAATTCCAATTTTCAAGTTCCTACCTTTAAAAAATATATACCCCCATAAAAACTTTTTTCTCCCTTTCCTCACTTCCCCTTCTCCTCCGGTCCCCCTTTTTTCCCCAGTTTAAAATATGAAAATCCAAAAAACCTAAAACACATCATTATTTATTTGCGATGAGTAGCTACAATTACAATTTTCAAGTTCCTACCTTTAAAAAAAAATCAATATTCCCATACAAACTTTCACCCCACGTTCCCCCCTCCCCCGTCATTATTTTTTTATGCTCAATAACTGTATTTCAAATTTTCATGTTTCATTACCAATATGCAGAAATCATGTTGATCTTAGCTCTGTGAAAAATAAAAACAAATCTATCCCACGGGAACCGTACATTTTTCGGGATAAAAAGTAGCCTATGTGCTATTTCAGACTATAATCTATCTCTGTACCAAATGTCAGCCTAATCCGTTCAGTCGTTCTGGCGTGATTGAGCAACAAACATCCATTAATTCATACATAAATAGTAATTAACGACAATATTTTTAAAATATAAAAAAAATAGATATTAAAACTACAGTATACAACTTGTTAAATTTTATCACGCTGGATGTATTTTGTTAGCTCTCTCTTGAAACCGTTAATATTACCAATAGACTTTAGGTACGAGTATATTGGAAGTTTGTTATATGCATTTAATCCTTTATAAAAAGTATTTTCATTGATCTTGATATAAAATTTATTGTTTTGTCTCATATCATAGGAATGAGTGTCACCTTGGTAAGTAATAAATTCGGAAAAATAAGATGGTAGTAAATTATTAATAATTTTGAATATAAAAATCATTGCTGTTCTAAACAACCTATCACGGATGGAAATCCATTACAAAGCATTAAGCATAGTGGAAATACTAATATACCAATTATATCTCAAAATAACCCTCATGCCTGGATTTTGTAACTTCTGTAGAGCCATAATTTTATTTTGATCTAAGCCATAGAGCAATGTGCTGCAGAAATCGAAATGTGGCTGTATTATTACATTGTATACAGTAACTTTGGCAGCAGTACTAAGGTAGATAGAAATTCTACTAAAAAAGTATAGTTTTTTGCTATTTTCCTAACAATATAGTTGTGATGTCCACTATAAAACCTAAGTACTACAAACTGTAAGTATTTGATGTTAACAAAATGGTGAGGGGATAAGCTGTGTCTAACAATTTAAGTCAAGTTATTGTCAATTCATAAAATGCTGGTAATTATGGTGCTAAAATCGCAACTGCAATTATCACGCTATATTGTATGAAATACAGTAAAATGACAGGAGCAGTTCAAGAAAGGCCAAATTTGGGTAGAACTTCAAAAATAATCCTGATCAATATGAGAAGATTATGTCGAATTTTGATACAAAATCGCCGACCCGTGAAATAGAGCAACGGGAAATAATTGTTCATGGTCTTAGAGCTATCAAACGATTGATCTATAATTTCTACAAAATAAGTTATTTTCGAAAATTTATGTCAATTTCTTTTTGTAGGCTAAAGAAAAACCGCTGTTAACTGTAAGACAGAAAAAGATGCAATGGGACAGTGTTATTTGGAGTGATGAATAACAATTTGAGGTATGTGTTGGTGATTACCGAAGTAGGGTATTGAGGACAAAAAATGAACCTCATCATCAAGACTGTTTGCGTCTAACAGTCAAGTTTCCAACTTCTGTAATGATTTGGGGATACATGTCGGCTCAAGGAGTTAGCAAGTTGCATATCATAGAAGGGACTGCTAATGCTGTTAGATACATTGACATCCTTAGAGACAGTCTAATGCCATTCATAGACAGCTTAAAAACAGGATGGAGCTGCATGCCATACTGGTACATATTCCAACAGGATGGCGTTGCGTGCCATACTGCTAAAATCGTGAAGGAATGGATGTTGGAAATTAATATTCTGTTATTAGACGGATATCCAGTAGTCCTGATCTGTCACCAATTAAAACACTTTGGCATAAAATGAAAAAAAATCCAAGGTACTCCTACTAGAACAGTTCCTGAATTAAAAGAGAAACTAATTCAAATTTGGAACTCCTTCACTGCTGCAGATTGTAAAAAGTTAGTAGATACCATGACAAAGCAAATTAAAGCAGTTCTAAAGCAAAAGGGAGATGTTACACAGTGGTAAAATCACCTGTGTCCTTCCATGATTATTGGGCCAAAAGAAATGATTCATTGTTATCTTATTTAATTTAGTGTTCTGTGCATATCTCTAATTTTCTAATATTCATTTTAATAAAAAATGTTGATAAACATGTCTTAAATTATAATAAAAATAGTTGGGTTTAATAGATTTTTCTTTTGTATTTACTAATGTTGACTAAAATAAAATATTGAATGGGCCAAATGATATAATTCTGGGCTAATAGACCTACTAGTACTCTAGTGTATTTCCTATTAAGGCTTAGTAGATGCTCAGTAAGTTTGTCCTGTCTCTGCCTGGTAAATGTTTCCACCACTCCTGAGATTTTTTAAACATCCACTGCTTTGTGCATGTTCTCATAGTTTGTCTTTGTGACATCACAGAAGGGTTCTGGGCCAATAAGAGCCTTTGAGGCTCCTTCTCAGGCTTCTGCATTTGTTAGAACCAACTAATTCTCAAAGACCCAAAATGATGATCATTGTTTTTTTCAGGATCATAGCCATATTTCATCACTCATCACCTGTGATGATGCTGGACACCAAATTTGACAAACCATGGTCAAAGGGATCTAGTGATCTGAACCATCTCTCACAGTCTTCTTTTTGAGCTAAAGTCAAGTTGTGTGGAATCCACTGAGAACAAAGCTTATAAATTTTCAAATATTTGTGTAAAATAGTGTTAATTGCTTTCACACCAATCTTTAAAGTTGCTTGAATGTGCTGGTCCTCTTTAATCGTGTTCCGAATAAAACCAATATTTTTTTCTGTAACTGCTGTTTTTAGTTTAGAAGTTCGAAAACTGTCATTTAAGGAAAGTTTACTAAGTTGAAATTCATTAGGTATACCACCCCTTTACAACACCAAAGGACCATGACTTGTCACCAAGTTTTTTTTACTATACTTGAAAACTTAACACTGTTGAATGAATAAAAAATCTTAGATATTTAGTTCTAATGTAAATTATAAATTATGGGAGTCTGAATCTGATTACTTCAAGTTTACGAATTCGGGCATCAAAGCATAGTTGCCTAATTTGTTAGTGTGCAGATGGCCTAAGCCCCAGGTTCTAGGTTTGACTCCCAGTGTTGCAGGCATTTTTTCTTTCTTCAATTATAAGCTTTTCAATTTTTAAAGGCATGATCTAATGTCACCATATGTAAGCTAATTAACCAAATACCGGAAAGTCGTTTACACATAATCAAATTGTATAATATTTAAAAAAACATACCCTAATATCACCTAAATTTGCAGAGGCTATTACATCCGTCATTTTATGTACCAGCACACAAAATGGACCTTGCGACTCCAAACTTTCTTTTAAATTCAACTGAAAAAAAAAGTAATAATGAGTAAATTACCAGTAACTTACAGTTGAAATTAAACACACAATTTACGCACTTTGAACACTTCGAAACCATAATTTTTGCAGACTGTCTCTAATTCTTGCCAGTTCAATTTCTGTAATTTTTTTTCGGAAACACAAAAAGCTATTCGTTTATTGGAAGGCATTATAATGTTAAGTTAAAGTTAAAATTCGAAACCTGTATATATACAAAACATCTAGGACCACGCTTTTTATGTATACCACATGTCATTGTACGTCAAAGTCAGAAGTCAACAGTTGAAGGCAAAAGTAGAGATGTGTCGTTCATGAACGACCCGTTCAAAAACTCAAAAAGAACCGAACTTTCCGAAGACCCGTGATCATCGAGATAGAATAAAGTAGAAACGACATATTCGATCATGTATTAGGATGATCGAATATCGAATGACGACATAAACACTATTTTCCGATGGATGTGCCAGATGGACGCACTTCGAGTGACGGAAAAGTGTAATGAAAATGGCGACTTGAATTGTACTTTGATTTATTTGAAGTCAATAATTTTATACTTGAAGACTGACGGAATTAAAATGATTTTGTATCATTTAAGGACCGATTCCACCGTTGTGTTAAACGGAGATTAAAATGACATTTTTACATTAACAATGTCATTTTATTCTCCGTTTAACACAACTAACACAACGTAATTGATTAAGGGCCGATTCCACCACTCCCACCGTTGTGTTAAACACAGTTTAAATTACTAATCGAAAATTAAAACAATGTCATTTTAATCTTCGTTTAGGTCCGATTTCACCCATAGATTAGGTGAAAGTATTCCACCGTTGTGTTAAACGGAGATTAAAATGACATTGTTAATGTAAAAATGTCACTTTAAACTTCGTTTAACACACCGGTGGAATCGATCCTGTAATTTAAACTTCGTTTAAAGTTTCAATGCTTTTCCAGGGGCTAGTAACTGATCTTGAAGTTCTGGCAATCGACCAAACTTCTTCCGGAACACAGATGCCAGACCTCCAGCGTCATTGATGTTGGCGGAAGTACGATGTACCAGCGAATAGCCTTTAGGAACCATGAGCAGATCTTGTTGATGCTCAGATGTATCACCATATTTTTCCGGTACCTCCATATATGCACCTATAAATTCTTCAACGACAAGGTCAGGTGATTCTCGGAGCTGGTTTACTTCTTCTTCTTCGTCATAGTTACCCTCAAATGAACTACCATCGGTTTACCGTTCGGGATCTTACTTATACGGTAAATGACATCATTGATTTTTTCTTGATGAGATACGGACCTTCAAAATACCTTAGAAGCTTCGGAAAATAACCCTTTTGGGTTATGGAGTCAGACTTTGCCGCCTTCTTTGATACATCTTCTGTGGCTTGGGTATCGTATCGCTTCTTCATTATGTCGCTGGCGATTTGAAGATGCGACTTATTCCCGGTGGTATGTCACAGACAGTTACATAAACTTTTTTACTCACTATTGAAATTAAACTAGACACCTTGCGTCGAGACGACTAGCGTAGTGACGGGAGGGAAGGTATTTATTTCGATACTGCGTAGGGACAGATATACGCTAGGGAATACTTAGGTGGTGCTGCTCGAAGAAGGGTGTCGACAAGGATATTATGAAGGAAATATTTAGAGACGGCAGGTGTCGAGAAGTAGAGCGGTGGGACCTTGTGCGTCGAGACGTTAAGAGTTATTGGGATGGATATAAGGTAGGATATTTTTATGTGGGGCGGAGCGTAGGAAGATAGGGTAGTAGGACGGCGGAACGTTGGGCGTCGAGAAGTTGGGCATCGAGACGTGGTAGCTTCGGGGGATAGGAGGTATTGTAGGATAGGCGTCGTTTAGGAAGGTACTAACTACTGAACTTGAAATATAACTGGATACAAAATAATAAAATGATTGCTTGAATATAAAATAAAATTAATCTATATAAAATCATACTAAATGCTCCAGAGTCCTCGGGTTCGGGTCTTTATACACATTTTAATAGATTTTTGTGACGTCAGTTTGTCGTAGCTTCGGTGGGAACGAATTTGGGTGGATAAAAAGAGGTGTTAGATTTATATTATGTGCCTTGAGAAATTCTCGGAATTTTGTATCAAAATCTTGTCGAAAATTAATCTTAATCTTCGAAACTAGAAAGATAAGAGGGTTGGTTATGTGTTTTAGGACCGATTTCACCGTTATGTTAAACGGAGATTAAAATGACATTGTTAATGTAAAAATGTCATTTTAAACTTCGTTTAACACAACGGTGGAATCGGTCCTTAATGATTATTATTTCGTGAAAATAAATATGTTTATGGAGGTTTTTGGATCGAATTCTCATGGGATAATTGTTTATATTTTCTGCAATATTATAGATATATTACAGAAATATTGCTTTTATTTATTAAGGACCGATTCCACCGTTGTGTTAAACGAAGTTTAAAGTGACATTTTTACATTAACAATGTCATTTTAATCTCCGTTTAACACAACGGTGGAATCGGCCCTAAGCATCATAGATAGGATTTAATTATATCAAAGATTTTTCATAAATGTAGAAATTTTTGTTTTTAGCTGTATTAAATGAGACGCAATACGTAGAAAAAGTTTTTTTTATGTAATTGAAATCTAGGCGGGATTTCGTTATAACTGTAGTGGGCCCACTGAATGCACTGAACTCTATACCGTTACAAGTTCAGCTCCAGCTGGCTCCAGTTACAGTTCAGTGAGTGGACCTCAGTGATTTCTAGGGATTATTTAATGGTAGGGAATTTTCACTTCACTATATTGGTAAATGGCAACACTAATGTCTGTCTCTGTCGTTTCGTTTGTCGTTTGTCGATTGTCGTGCATATTTGCTGTATTTGCAGTTTGCTGCTATTGTTAAATTGTGTGGATTTTTTTAATAAATTAAGTCTCTTTTGCAAATATAAAAAAGAAAGGTAATGATATTTAATTGTCTTCTTATTCTAGTAATCTATAGCTTTGCTATTTATTTAGTTTTTTACCCATAAAAGTAATATATAAACAAAGCAAATAACCCAATAACTGCAGACAATGTAAAACAATTTTATTAGTGTAAACTACCTACCTCTAAATAAAACACTGCTGTGATTATAGTAGAAAGAATATATTAACGAATAATTTAAATCTATTTTAAAAATATATTAAAATTAGGTAAAACGACAGTAATTGACCGACGATGTGGATTATTCGAGCGGTAATCGCAATGAATCTTCCATAGAAAAATAGTTGCAATAAATTTATGCAATTGAGCTAAAAATATAAACTATTCTGTGCTTTTTATTATGCCACAGATCAAATGGTGTTTTGTGTTGTTTTAGAGATTTAGTATGGGATATTTTAATTGGATTGTCCAACTGTTTTTACTTATTCGCTTTAATTCGTCCGTATCACCAGAGTCTAATATCTGTGGTACTAAGGCAAAACCAGATATGTCAAAAAGTACGATTTTTCAGGAGACGCTTTTTAAAGTTCTCAAGATCGCCTAAAATTGGATTTTATATAGATTGACTCGGCAAGTAAATTTAAGTGTTTATACAATTAATTTCTTTCCTTTTGGCAGGTCAATACCAAATATCACTGGATAACGAAAATATTTAGATAAATTTAACATACCGTGTTTTGCCTTCCTCAGTTTTATTAAAAAAAAATAACTTATTGTTTACAATTACTTCATATCGGTGTTTGCCTTCTTTATGGTTTTAGTCTTACCGATTATATCGCCAATTATCTCTGCTTTTCTGTGTGAACCTTTGGTTAATGAAAGTATGTGTATGGTATATTCTACATACATATATTAGCCTTCACGTGATATATTATCTTATGAGAAAAACAATTTTGACATAAAAACATTTTAATTCTTTGTAATAAAAACATATTTTAATTCTTTGTCATAAAAACATATTTTAATTCTTTATTTAAAAAATTGAAACACCAAACATCATTAATCTTCTTCAGATTGATCTTCTAGTAACTCTGGTACTCGGGTGCTTGTTTCCAGATTTAAATAAAAACTGTGACACTCAGAATGAATCAGTGGAAGGAGACTAAGTAGGTCCTTTTTCTTCAGGGGATTGATTGGCAAAGGTCCATCATAACATTTCGTCAATAGGGGTATCGGCAGTTTGCCCCTTTTTAGCCGTCTAAAATCGAGTACTCGAAGGTTTTCTTCATCAAGCGAAGTTTTGAATTGGATTAGTCCAAAGGTTTTCTCATACTGGATCCATTTCATTTCAAGCCAGTTCACTTTCCTACCCTCAGTGTCAATAGCTCTTCGAACTAAATATTCCTGAACAAGCTTTGAAAATGAAAGTATATGCTCTTGAGTCATCTCATGAACCTGAAATGGTTTTTTGCCTCTTACAGTTCGAACGAATTGAAACCAGTCTCGAGGCACCATTATGGGTATTTCAGCAGTCTTATTTGACCTTTCAATGCGAGCATGATCTACATCACATTCTAGGTGGGTATGGCCCAACAACAGAAACTTCTGATCCACATATTTAACATGGCTGCTCTTGCTGACAAAATATGAAAACATCGCGGTCATATTATTTTTTTATTAATTTCTTTATTTAGCTTTGCTAATACAAAAATAGTACAGTTTTTAAAACAATAAGTATAGTTTATACATTATGTATAGTGTCTAAAAATGAACAGGAAAAAAAAACAAATTATTAGTGTCTAACTATAAAAAATATATATACATGTAAAATATAAAATTAAATTTATATCTACAATTAAAATCTCTCTATATCTAAAATTAAAAATTTTTTTTTTTATTTATACCCTTTGTGTCATCATAATATAGTTCTTAAGTTTACATTTAAAATTATTTAATGAGGTAGCATTTTTAATTTCAACTGGTAATTCATTGTAAGCCTGCAGACCCTTGACAAAGACCGAATTTTGGGCACTCCTACTTATAACATGTCGAATATGAAAATTAGTCCGATTTCTTGTATTATAATTGTGAAATTGAAAATTGTAATCTATTTTTTCAAGTAAGTATGAAGGCATCATTTGTAATTTAATTTTAAAAATAAAAATTAATGTTAGGTAAAGAATGTAATTTTTAACTGACATCCACTCAAGATCCTGTAACATTGTTTTTATATGAGTTATTTTATCACAAGAAAGTATTATCCTCATTGCCCTGTTTTGAAGTTTCTGCAACCTATTCATTTCATTTTGGTTTAGCAAATATAAAATTGTGGCACAATACGTAAAATGGGGCAGAATTAAACTATTATAAAGAAGCTTTAAAGACCATTGGTTAAGATCTTTTGAGCATCTATATAAATAGCTGATTTTAAATGATATTGTTTTAATAACATAATTAGCATGTTCTTTAAATAGTAACATATAGTCAACTATGACACCAAGATATTTAAATTTTTTAACAACTTCAATATTACTATTTTCTATATTTACTTTTAGGTTACTAATATTATATTCTTGATAGTTTTTGTCATTTCCTATAATCATGAACTTAGTTTTATTGTTATTAATTTTTAAAGAATTAAAACAGCACCATTGAAATATTTCTTTTAGTGTGTTATTTATATTTTCAATTATTTCATGTAAATTGTCTGAAGCAAAATAGATCAAAGTGTCATCTGCAAATAAGATAATGTAACAGTTTCCTGCGACACGTGCGATATCATCAATGTACAAGAGGAACAATAATGGTCCTAACACACTTCCTTGCGGGACACCTTGTTCATTTTGGATTTCATCTGATGTAATGTTGTTAAACTTTAGCTTCTGTTTCCTGCCATCTAAATAATTTATTAACCACTGTAATGCATCATCAACTATTCCAAAACTTTCTAATTTACTAATAAGTAATGTACAATCTACAGTTTCGAATGCTCTTTGTAAATCAAGAAATAGAGCACCAGTAATTAATTTAATATTTTTATTGTGCTTGAAGTGATCTAGGACATATTGTATTGCTGTTTCACAACTATGCTTTCCTCGAAAACCAGACTGTATACTATTAAATAGATTATTTTCTTCTAAGTAATGAATTAGTTGATTATATACAAATTTCTCTAATACTTTCTCTATTGTACTTAGCATATTAATCGGTCTTAAGTCTGCTGCTCTATTTGAATGTGATACTTTAGGAATTGGTATGATAACTGAAGTTTTCAAGGCTGTAGGAACTATATTCATTTCTAAGGAGGTGTTTATGATATTAAGCAATGGCAACGCTATGTTTGCAAAACAGTTTTTTAAAAAGGACGCATTTATTTCATCCGAACTTCCTTTATTAGGTAAGTCAAAATAATTTCTCTCATTGTGTCAATGTCAATAAAGTTAAACTTCTTAAAAAACACATGATTATTCTTAGATGCTACAGGAAGATTTCTATTATTACGATTTATATTAGAAATAATTTCGTTTATACTATCAATATAAAAGTTGCATTGGGGATCTCAATTATATCTTTTATTATAAGATTATCATTTATCTCTATTTCCGTTAAGCTATTTTGTTTATTTTTAGGCAAAAGGTCTTTCATAACTTTCCAAAGTTTAACAGAATTTTGTTTATTTTCACTTATTTGTCGTTCATAATATTTACTTTTTTCTTTTCTAATAACTCTAACTGCTATGTTTCGATTTTGTTTGTATATTTGCCTATTTTCTTCAGTTTTGTTAGATACATAACTTTTATAACTATCATCCCTATTCCTGATAGCATTTCTGACTTCCTGATTCCACCAGTCTTTATAATTAGAAAATATTTTAACAGGTCTTTTTGGTGCCACCTCATCAAATACTGTCATTAAATTTTGGTAGAAGTTAATATATCTCTCATTAATATTGATAGTATAATTCCAATTGACCTGAGACAACTTATAATTTATTTTTTCAAAATCAATTACTCTACCTCGACTTTCTATTATTTGAGACTCCTTATTATTAGTTGGTTGAAAATCTCTATACACTTCGACATTAAAATGGGTACTTATTTTAGGAGTGAGACAAATTTCAGTCCTTATGTTTAAACAATTGGTTATTACTAAGTCAATAAGAGTGCCTCCATTGTTATTGTTAGCAGGATGAGTAATTTGAGTTACTACATTTCTAAAATCTATATCACTAATACAGTTTCTTAGTCTAAAACTATTTGAGTTATCAGATAGCCAATCTATATTAAAATCCCCCGTTACAATTATCTTATATCTACTATCACATAAAAAACTATCTGAAAAACTTTCAAAAAAATCCAAAAAGTCTGAACATATACTGTTAGGTGATCTGTATAAACTAACAATTAAATGAATACAGTTTTCAAAATAAAATTTCAGCATTATCACCCAATATTTTTTTTGACACTAAATTTTTTACAAGACAAAACCGTTATTTGTTTATTTATATAGATTAAGGCCCCTCCAGTATACCTGCAGTCACTATCTACTCTGTACATATCAAAATTATTTATTGTAATTTCAGAATCAAAAATATCCTCTGTAAGTCGTGTTTCAGACAAGCATACTATCCACGGTCTTTTTTCCACAACTAAAGCAGATATTTCATCAAAATGACAAGGCAAACTTTGTGCATTCATTGCCAATATAAAGCATACTTCATTTGAAGGATTAGATACATTATCTGTTAAATTATTAAAACTCATAACTCTAGTTGCTAAATCTCTATGATATCCGAAGAGCGCGTCAGAAAATTTTCTTGGTGATTTATTTTAACAAATTTTAGATTATTATGAGGCTTTGGCTTGTTTAAGTTTTCTAATAATTTGGCAACCAGTGCATTTTTAGACAAAAGCTTTCCGCTTTTGTTATTAAAATCTATATATTGACCAGATGATTCTGTACATTTATTTAATTTAAAAAGATATTCATTTAGCCTATAATTAAATTTATAAATAAATTTGTTGACATTAAAAT